CAGAGTCACTGTAGATGCAGAATAAATGGTGCTTTTGAATCGTTGCTTCTCCTCAGACGAGATGCACCAAGTCAGCCGACAGTGCAGGCCAACTAACGGCCACTAATTTGTGACATGCCAAGTAAATTACCTTCAAACAAAAACGCTGTAATTGCTGCACCTGGTGCTGTAGCCGGCCGTATTTACTGGCTCTGATTCGTATCTCGCAGCCACGCGTTTTGCTTTTATGGTTTACGCTGAGCCGAGTGTTTGCCATAAATGGCAGGTGGGCAAAATTGAAGTGCAAAAGTAATTCAGCTGCTGCCATTCAAAGGAGCTATGTCAGTTTGATTTACCTGTACACATAAACATTCACACACACACACACCTTTGGGCCACATGTGTTTTTTATATTCATATGGTGAGGGGAAAGAAAAAAATGTGCGGCTCCAAAATGGAGGTTGAAGGGTCATGGTGTTTGGCCAGGAGTGACAGCTCTGAAATGAAGGCATAAGTCAATCAGCTACTCACGGTACGCACACACACATGGGCCGGGCCGGGCCGGGCGGGGGGGTAGGAGGCGGGAGGCGGGGGGCGGTGGGGTAGGAGGTGGGGGGCAGGGGGCTGGAACAGAGGAGGGGAGGGAGGGGAGGGGGGGCGGCTGGAGGAGGGGAGGCTGAGTGTAAAGGGCACGAGGTTACCATGTGGGGGAGTGTGTGTTTTTGTGTGTGTTCACGAGTGTTGAGGAGGAACTCCACATCATGTCTGAGAGCTTGGAGGTACGAACCTCGACCCGCCTCCTGGAGCTGAGCGCCACCAGCAGCCATGTTTGCTCACACACACACCTGGTGACACACCTTGAACCCAGAGGTCAGAGACCATGTGTGTTCTTGCTGTCACACACCAAGGCTCGGTGTTTGTTTGCTCGCCGTCATGCTCCAACCAGCCTCCACCAGCGTCCGGGCTGCATCCCAGGGTGAGAAAAGCCCCCGTTTGGCTTGAAGTCACTGATTGATCCGTAGCATTGATCAGCGCGCGCCTCATCGAATCCAGATGTTTTGTATCTGTGAGTGAACAGCAGGAGGATTTCTCCGTCCTGATCCGAGGCCTCGGGCTCTGCTACAGACCCACAGCGTCTCTATGTTGGTTTGAATCTGGCCGTGAGCTCACATGAAAGAGGGCGGAGTTACACCAGGTGACCAAACATGGACAGGTGTAGAGCCGCATATCCCCAAGAACAAACAATGACCCTCCAGCCATTAGAGGAATTTTAAAGTGAATAGAGGCCAACAGCTCCCAGCTGCTGCTCAGCACAGAGACCTGCAGCAGGATGTCAGCTGTGTGAAGGTGAGCTAGTCAGAGCCTCACGTAAAGGTTCAGTCCGAGTCACACTTCAGTCACGTAGGAGTTACCTCAATGGACTTTTCTTCTTCTTTTTAACATTCAGTTCATTTTCTATGACACCATGGTCAGTGAGAAATCTACGGCTAACTGGCGTGTGGTATTTGTATAAAATAGTCCCAAAAACGTAGACATTTTTAGCAAGTTCTGTTAATGAAATGGATGTGTTGTGTGTTTGCTGGCTGTGTGGGACCATGCTATAGGTGGATTAAACAACGAGGAGCCGTGCATCATACGGTTTGACTGCAGCAGCGGAGTGTAAAACACAATATATATATAATGTACAATACACGGCTCCTCGTTGTTTAATCCTTACTAATGCAACACAAACTGTTCAACAACGTGGTTCTTTATGGTCCTCGTGAAAAAGACCAATTAAAGAATAAATAACAGTTGGAGTCTTTCAGCAAACAGTTAAAGAACAAACTTAAAGTCATTCAAAGCGATCGAAGGCTTTAGTGCTTCATCGGTTCCTTTTTTTAGATGACTTTGAGCCGTAGCAGCTCTCAGACCTCCGTCCCTCCTCAGAGACCCTCCAACCATCTCACACTGAGCACTGCCACATCTTCCAGGAATGATGGTTTTAAACACGTTGATTTATCGTCTCCAGCAAAACCTGGAGCTGGTTAGGAGTTCAGATCCGTTATCATGATGATGTATTGCTGTAAGAAGTGGACCAGCGCCGTAATCCTCAGTTAAACCTCAGGTTCCCTCACTAGCCTGTGAAGCCTGCGCTGGGCAGCAGCATCTTCTGATTGTTTGGCTTCAGGGCTGAAAAATTTAACCGAGTGTGACCGACATACGCAGCGTGGTCACATGAAACACTCAAGTCAAAACATTGTAGATGTGTAAATAAAAGAAGGTCACGTGAGTCCCAACATGCCGTTATGAACGCAGAACGTTGTGGTTCTGTACGTATGCTCTGATGCTGATACTTTTGTACGTTTTCTTTACGTTTTAAATGCATTTGCTTTAACTTGTACCAGAGTATTTGCTGATGCTTAATTAATCCTCCACCTCTGGAGAAAACTGGCGACTACAGCGCTGTCGTCCAGCTACTACAAGATGTTCTGAATCCTGTCTTCTGTTCTCCTCAGTAGCAGCAGCACCACAGGATTGTGGGTATTGTAGTATTTAGAGCAGCCAGGCAGAAGAAAGAGAAACAAAAAGGACTCATAAAATCTGAAATGATCAAAACTAAACCCTCATCTACTGATCTCCTGAGCCTCCAGCATCATCTCACTGGATTTGTTCCTCATCCACAATCAGAGCAGTTTAGGATCAGGTTCAGGTGGATCAGCAGCTCACAGAACTTCCACCATCACAAACGAGCTCTGAAGCTCAAATGGATCAACCAGCTGGACATCGGAGGCACTCAAACTGTGGGTAGTCTGCACTTCTGGAGTCTATATTTATATATTTACACACACACTAGTCGACTGAACGGCATTACAGTGTGACGGTAGTCCTTCACCGTCGTTGTTCTGGACCGGGGCACATGTGCAGCAGTTTAAGGAGTTGGGTTTTGTTCTGATCTGCTGATGCAGGATGCCACCCCATTTCTACAAAATCACATCCTCATACGACTAAACTGCGCTCTCAGTTAGGTTGTGAGTCCTAGACCCCTGGCCAGACCTCCATCCAGCTGAGCAGAGTTTGCGTCCTGCGATGGACGAGGAACCGTCAGGCTCACAGAACGGGTTTTCTGGTTCGGTTCAGAAAAACATCTCACGTCGTCAGACACTCTCATACGACAGAAGCCTGATTCAGGAGAAGCACTAAAATAACTGGGCTTGGTTCAGAAAACGATGCCATGGGTCGGGTTTAAATATGACCCTTTCACTACACGTCTGACGCTTCGCCTCCATTTTCTGGGTTGCCATGGTGACAAGTCCCACCCCACTGAAAATCTGATTGGCTGCAAGGGAGCTACCGAAACAGAAGCAGTAAAACACAGGACAAGATGGGCTTATTAGAAATGCATCTGTGCTACGTTACCAACACTTCATCTGGCATCAAAGCTGAACATGCAGTTCAGTTGTACTGGGGCTCTGTTGGACCGTCTCACCGATGGTCAGGTGTCTTTATGTTGTAGAAAGATTTACATCACCACACTTTCATATTCACCTGTCTGTGTTTCAGGTTCAGCAGCAGTTAGATAAACCAGAACAGTTCATACAGGCAGGAAGTGTTCAAGAACCAGAACAAAGGGTTTAATGGACCTGTCGCCCAGCAGAGCTTCATGTCCAGCAGCGCTTCTGCTGCCGTAAACAGGAACTACGTTTCTCTGTCAGCTAGCATCTGGGTGAGCTCATGGTTTAACACTAAGAGAAGACTGGCAGGTAGTGTGTTGTGTGGTCTCACCTTGATTCAGCAAACAGCAGCCATCTCCGACTGACATCTCGTACAGGTGACCATCAGGTGACCAGCAGGTGACCAGACTCACAGGTGACCAGCAGGTGACCAGCAGGTGACCAGACTCACAGGTGACCAGGCTCACAGGTGACGAGGCTCGCAAGTGACCAGCAGGTGACCAGCAGGTGACCAGGCTCACAGGTGACCAGCATAGCCGGCTTCAGTGAACAGATCTTTTTATTTTTTTTAAAAATGTTTTGTTGTTGTTGGTTGGTCTAAAATCGGACCACAAGGTGAAAGGCAGAAGTTACTCCAGAGTCTGGCGTCTCACTCTCAGGCTTGTGATGAGGCTCAGGTGTGATCAGACTGTCAGCACACCTGGGCCTCTGGGTTAACTGAAAGGCCCCGCCCACTGTCAGCCAGCCTCAGGAAAGGAAGGAAGTCCTTATAGGGAGGCGGCACAGCAACAAGAAGCAGCCCAAGAGTCAAGTGTTGACTGGTGAACAGGTGTGACCTCTCTCATACCTGTGTTTAGGCAAACAGGCGACATTGTGATGGTCTGGAGGGAAAAGAGAAGAAGCTCTCATCAGCTCACGATGAAACTCTGGCATCAAGAGTGTCAGGAATATTTGAGTATATTTAAAAAAACAACCTGATCCTGTAGGGTTCAAAAACTGTAAAATAAATAAATTAAACTAAAATCTATAAAATAAATTCATTAAATAAAGGTCAGATGTTGTGAACAAAACTAATCACTACTTGTGAAAATCTAGATTTTTGATGTGGCCGTTATCTGGTTTGGACCTGGTTGTGCTGCAGTCACAACGTAAACTAATGCATTTTTAGATTTTATTAGATTTTATCTGGAATGTTTAAAAAAAAATCTGTAAAACTTCCTTTTTAAAATCCTTCATATGCACATTTTTTCTTTCAAATAAGGGAAATCATCTGTAAAACAACGATATTGTTGATGTTTCAGTAAAATGGTGAATTTTATGGTTGAACTTTAAACAGTTGTAAAAACACAGCTTCCTGGTGTGAACGTTATTTGCTGTTTTTATTACAGTTAGCTTATAAATTATTACTTTTTTCTATGATTTTACTAGTTACCTGTCATTTAAACAAAGATGGGAAATAATCTGTAAAACGACAATAAATTATTAAAACATCAGATAAAAACCTTTAAAATCGCACCAGAAACATTCCCAGAGCTCCCAGTGACCCGTCTGGTGCTCAGCAGGAGACAGTAACAGACAGCAGAGAGCTGAGTGTGAACAAAAGAACTTTATTGAATTCATGGATAATCCAGATTTCCAAACAAAAGCAGAGGGATAAAAACAAACTCATAGAAACGTTCTGTGAACTTATTCACCAACAGACAGCTTTCTACGGTCCCAGATGGCTTTTCCAATACCGGTACCTGACACCACGATGCCATGTTGGAAATGTGAGACAAACAAACTGACTTCCACCGAGGGGAAGAAAAAACAACTTAAAATCGTCCTACGCTAAGTCACAGTCATAAGTCCAACGGGGATAATATGGTAACATAGACTGAGGTTTTCAGGTTAGTGATACATATTCTATGGTATCGGTACGATAAGCTCCATGACACGAGTTGAGGGGTTTCCCTACACCACAATATCAGCAGGAACCGGAAAAGAGCTGGCGTGAGGTTTACAAACCGGAAGTGCCGACGATGTTAAAGCAGAAATGTGTGACGTCTACTGATTGCATGAAAGTCGGCCGCCGTCACGCCGCTCAGTTCCCTCCTGACAGGACATAAGACCTGTTATAACAGGTAACGAGAGATTATGGCACAGTCATAAGATAAATGCTCAGTGACAAAATCTTTGTTCTAAGGCAAGTACAGCTAGTCCCCCCCCCTCCCCCCCGCTCTAAAAGGTCCAATACTGACAATCATGACTAAAAAACACAAGAAGAGGAAGAGCGGCGTGCTCCTGTGATGAGGTCATGGAGGGAGCTGTAATGGGCTTTCTGATCAGTCAGAACGCGGGTCGGTCCATCGGGGGTCAGTGCTGTGAGTGTAACCAGTGAGGAAGTGTAGTTCTGACTAATTTACAAGTGCCTAAGCTTTTATTTGTACTTTCCTCCCCCTGAGACCCCAAAACAGTTTCAGACAAACCAGAAGTTCTGTTACATCACCAACACGACCACAGAAATACTCCAAACAATACGCGTCTTTCAGCTTTGGCACAGGCTGCTGAGAAGAGATCTGCAGGGCTGGTCGTGTCCGTCCGTCTGTCCGTCTGTCCCACCCTCTGAACCTGAGCTTTCCCATTGAACCCTAATATGCTTTAGATGCCTATGAATCCATGATATACTGTACATATGAACACAATCATGAGTTTTCTCTCCATACAAACAGTGCTAATACAAACACACACAATAAAACATGTCCTCTGCAAAAGTTCAAGACATTTTGGCATTTGTCTTTTTTTTTTTTAATGGCTTCTGGTTTTCTTCTCAAAAACTGGTAAATGTACAGCGGGCCTTGTGCTCCGGCTCAGGAGTCCACTAGCAAAGCCCTTGCTCGGTATTGGCCGCTGCTTGTAGGCAGCCTGCGTGAGCGTCGGCGTAGCACCAGGAAGTGATTTTTTGTTTGCATTGGGGTTGGTTTGTTCATGAGATTGACATCTGAAGTGAGTCCAACAGACCTGCTGGTGAACTGCGCAATCACCCGTCCTACCAAGCTGCCCGTCTCATGCCACATCTCAAACCGCCGCGACGGGCCGCCGAGGCTCTGCATTGGCAATGGTGTGCGATTGGCTGGCGTGTTTAACCGGGACGTATCGTGTTGTCAGTCTTTAGGGCGGAATGGTGAGGAAGACGCCTCCTCCGGGAAAGCTGAGAGCGATGGAGGGAAGGAAGGATGGATTGGATGAGTAGTCAGGTCCGCCTGAAGTCTTCCCCCCGCAGCTTCTCCTTGGTGGGAGTCTCCAGCCTTTAGGGCCCGTTCTCGTTGTAGTGGAGGGAGAGCGGCCGCTCGCGCTGCACCGTGGGCATGTAGGGCCAGTTGTAGCTGGAGCCCGACAGCAGCATGTCGCGGAGCAGCGTCTCGATGGGCGTCTTCCCCACCAGGCGCACAAAGAACAGCTGCTCGATGACCGGGGACGAGACGATGCGCAGCGAGGGCAGGCGCAGCAGCAGGCGGCCGAAGCGGTTGGGCTGGCTGGGGTACTGGTTCCTGACGTACTCCTCCAGGGCGCACTGGGACTTCTCCTGGATGCTCTCCACGTGGGCGACGTCTGACAAACCCATAGCATCTGGAGGAGAGGACGAAAACGTCAGGGTTCATTCTTATGAAAGGATCAGTCTACAGAACACATCAGCACACAATAATCTGACACATGATGTCGTCAGGATCAGGCGAGAAGCTCTCATCCCCAAAACCCAGCGGCCGGTTTGAGAAGCAAAAAAAAAAAGCCAAGAAGACACCATTTATCAGAGACAGACACTAAAAACAGAAAGAATCTTTGGATTTTCAGCTTTCAGCACAAACCATCTGCTGCTCCACAGAAAACCTGACAAGCCTCAGACCACAACATTCAATCAAAATCTCTTTATTTCTCATTTAAAAACAAACCATCCATCATCTCTACACCTTCATCCTCACCAGGGTCATGGGGGGCGGAGTCTATCCCAGCTGACTCAGGGTGAAGGCAGGTTCACCTGGACAGGTAACCAGTCTATCACAGGGCTACACTTAGAGACAGACAACCAAGCACACTCACATTCACACCTACGGACAATTTACAATCACCAATTAACCTCAGCATGTTTCTGGACTGTGGGAGGAAGCCGGAGAACCCGGAGAGAACCCACGCTGCACGGGGAGAACATGGAGACTCCACGCAGGAAGATCCCGGGTGTCCTCACCGGGACGTGAACCGGCGACCTTCTAGCTGTGAGGAGCTAACGGTGCTAACCACCGAGACACCTGCAGCCCCATTTCACCAGTAAAAAAAATAAAAATAATAATAGTAGCACTTAGTGCAGGTGTGTTCACACAGAACAGAAAGGAGACGAGCACGGAAACGATTTTACAGTTTGAGGAGTGAAATATCTGAAGTGTGTGTTCAGCAGGATAACAGCTGTTAGCATGAAGGAAGTTTAGACATGTCGATTATACACATTTTAAATTCTGAAACAAATAATCAAAGAAATTCAAGTTATTTTTTTAATGATTTCTGCTTTTAAACCGTCACGCTGCACAGAAGACAGTTCTGAGGTCTCGGTCCTGGTCATGGTGCTGCTGCGTCCACAGAGGAGCAGGACTTCATCCTGCAGTGATCAGAGCCACACAGAGGACACGAGTGACGGGTCAGAGGCTTCAGGTCCAATGACTGGTACCTGGTCAGTTTTACTATTAATGAAAGTTCTTTCCATCGAGGTTGTCGAAGCTTCCTACAGTCAGAGGACAGTACGGGGAAGAAGAACTAATGCTCGGCCTTTTGTCCCCCAGATGCATTAACGTGATGTCCAATATGGTTCTGGAGTGCATTTAAAAAACAGCAAGAGTTGAACCCGAGTGCTGCAGAAGACAAATGAATCATAGGAATGAAGAGCTGCAGCTCAATCAGAGATACCGTCAGGCCTCTGCTTCAATCAAAGCCAATCAGCTCTACAGCCACATGTCCAGACGTCCAGGAGGCCGGCTGGAGGAATGAAGGCATTCATCACGTTTCTTAACTGCTTCAAGTCTGAACTGGAAAAAACCAAAAACGCTTTGGACCACTGAGCTGATCCGTCACATCTGAAGGAATTATCAGTCTGATGTTGTGTAAGTCGGGAATTTCTAACCAGTAGAGTAATGGAGGCTGAAGTTCTGCAATAAATTAGCAAAACACTTTTGTATTTTGCAAGACAGCCGACCCAGAGGAGCGATGAAACGTAACGCAGAGCTTCTTCTTCCTTTACAAGTCCTCAGGTCACAGATTTGTTGCTCAAACTTGACAAAATGGAAGCTGTCGCTGCAGATACAGATCTGCTTCGCCCCTGTGGTCTGTGTTCGCAGCACACTGCAGCGCTCGCTTTCCCTCAGCTGGAGGTCATGTTCTGGCTTCCACCTCCCAAACCTCCCCTCCTGCCGGCCCCCGCCTTGGCAGGAGGCTCCACGGCCCAGAGAGGGAGCAACGCTGTGCGCCGTACTTTTCACACCCGGTGTGTGGAGGGGAGAGCGCGGGGGATTTAGCAAAGGAGGTCAGAGATGTGTGAACTCAAAACAAAGACACATTTTACTGTACGCCGCCGCCGCCGCCGCCCACTCAGCGTTCAGGGGCGGCTCTGGACTCTGCCCGCTCGCTGAACCCACATTTGGAAGACAGGTATTCGATGAGGGCAATTTATTCTCAAGCTTTTCGTTTGAAAGCGTTGGCCCGTGTTTTAACCCGTCACCTTGCATCATCGGCCCCCTTTGTCATCTCACACTTTGATCTGTCCCCTGAGTAAACCCGGCCCTGCTGGGCCCGGCTCCGCGCTGCAAAAATTTAATTTACCTCATATTTTAATCAAGCGCGTCAATCCCTCCCCACCTCCAGCGGCCGCTATTGTCCTCATTGTGGGTGAGTAATTGCTCCCACTTTGGCTGGATTTCCATCCACTTGGGGGGCAGCTGGACTTGTTTTTTTTTTTTTTTTGGTCAGGCCGCCATTTTGGGTCCTGCGTGACAAGGCAGTCACTGGCTGGTTGGGATTAGTGAAGCTGTCTGTGCGACTGAAACCACTTCGCGTGCCGAAGCGACAGCTCTGTGGGCGCTCTTCCACGCCAAGCACCGTGTTCTTTTGTCTGATCCCTGGGCACACACCGGGTCAGCGGGGGTGAGGGATCGGGGTGGCAGCGCTGAGATGCCTGCTCCCTGATGTGGCTTGATGGGACTGGGCTTCACAGGGGGAGCGCAGGGAGGCGACTCAGAGGGAGGTGAGAGACAATTGGTGTTTGTCCGAGCTTGTTAGGTCATCCCCCAGGTCTGCAGGAGTCAGGTTTATGAACAGGTCCGTCTCGTGTGCGCGTGTCTGCCTCCATTACATTCACAGCTCAAGTCTGCACGTTTCAACAAAACGCATTGTCTTCGGGAATCTTTTGGCAAGACGTGCAGTTTTTTTTTTTTTCTTCTTCCAATGTGCGCACATGTGCATCTGCCCATACCGGGGAGTCACATGGGATGCTCAGGGCTACAGGGGTTATGTAGGTCATGGCGAATCCTCCTTCTCACTGAAACACACCATACATAATTCAGCTCCTCTGGTGGGGGCAGGGGTCCTGGGGCCTGGGCTCGGCTTGGAGTTTGGGGTTTGGGGAGCGCGGGGAGGAGGGGTGGATAACTGCTTTCAATAATAGATGGGATCATGAAGGAGAGATGGCTGATGAAAGCAGGGGAGAGACGGGAGAGGTGGATCGGCAGCCACCCACATTCACAGAGCAGAGCGCCGGAGACGCTCGGTGCACGCAGAGCGAACCTGACAAGCCGTGCAGGGGAGAAAAAGACGGGAAAATGCAATGAAGAAACACGGAAGAGAGACGTCTCGGTGTTGGCGTCCTCACCATCCGTTTCCCCCTGGGTCACAAAGCATGATCTCTCGGTGAAGGATCCCAGATGTGACAGTATTTTGGCTGGCACTGGAGCCCAGTGACGGCTGAGATCAACCTCAACAGGGTTTGTGTATAAGCCGGATCAAAACAATGCACATCTCAGGGGTTTTGTGGAGACGTAAGGCCATTATATTCTGATTTAGTCGCGTATGCAGCTCCGTGGGGAGGATATGACGCCACATAATGTGAGGTTGGGAGGCTCAAGACCCCTCAAGTACGTCGTCAAACCGATGCTTGCAGCGGGTCTCTGACTGGGATGTGGTGACTCAATTACTGAGAGAGCTGTCTAATTTGGGCATTACATTAAATTTAAAATTAAATGCTGCAGATTTGTCTCAGCTTAAACTATGTTGTAAAAGCAGGAATAAGTCCCATCTGAGCAGGAATTAAAACACAAAGATAAAGTTAAAAGCTTCATGTTAACTGCTGCTGCTGCAAAAAAACAGGTTTCAGTGAAGCCGAGCAGCTCATCAGGTCAGTAGCTGCCTTTACAGGAGGACCGAGAGATCAGGTTACAGCCAAATTCATGGAGGGCAGAGACCATGACTGTAGCAGCAGCATCTACACATGGAGTCGATGAGACGGCCTCTGCTGCAGCGTCGGAGGTCGGCCCTCGGTCGGCCCTCGGTCGGCTCTCGCTCGGCTCTCGCTCGGCTCTCGCTCGGCTCTCGGTCGGGCTCCGCCGAGATGGAGAGGTTGTGGGTTAAGTGCAGGCTCCATTCAAACACAGGTGTCTGTTTTGTAAATGTGCGTCACCTTTCCTAGAACCAGTGAATCATGGGATGCATTTGCTGCCTTTTTTTTAAAAAGACAGTCCATCAGATTTTTAGAAGTCCATCCATGCGTTTGTCATGAATTAAAGTAACGCGCCTTCCTTGTCCTGCAATGCCAGGATAAAACAAAACACCTGAACAACTTAAAATGCACTCATTTAAAGTGCATCTGGTTCGACTGCAGACCTCCTCTGATGAGAATCCAGTTTTTACGTGGTTAACACCTCAGGATGGTGTTTTCCTTGAAGCGGGCGCCACCATGGCTCAGCATGGCCACGGTGAAGAAACACACGTCTGGACTTCAGGGCTTCATACAGAACAAACCAAAGGAAGCAAGGCGGCGTGTTGTTATTCTTCTTCAGAATCGGTTCCGGTTCCGGTGTGTCTGGCCAAGAGCAGAGCAGTGTCACAGTGTTTGCTGGTGTGCCTGAGCTGCAGCCAGCGGGAGGATGTGAGAGAAAGACGGGACTCATAGACAGAAGGGCTTATTCTATAAATATGTCACTTTAATGAGATGAGGTTTGAGGGGCGTCATCGGAGACGGACACTAAACGGTCCATCGCTGTTCTCGTGTCAGTTCAGACCTGAGCTGTTGTGCTGAACGCGTCACACGCTTTTCATTACTTTATGTATCAATGAACACGTTGCCATAATGTTTGGAAATGGTTTCTGTTGCAACAAACCATGGTGAGCTGTTCTTTTAGTCGGCCAGCTGTCTGAGTGGATCTGCAGCAGCACGGTGTTCAGTTCAGCTGTGAATCTACACCAGCCATATGTCGTCATCATAGAAGTGATGACGGGGCGGCGCAGTGCTGCAGCGGTTAGCACTGTCGCCTCACAGCAAGACATTTCTGGCTTTGAACCTGCTTCTGGTACAGATAAGGGATGATGATCAATAACTGAGCACCTGCATGGTTTACATGGAGCACAGCGGGCGCTGGTTGTATCCTGACCCGTGGATAAACCACTGCTGTTGTTGTTATCAGTGCTTTCACTGTGTTTAAATGTGCAGAACAACATATTGGCTACTTGTCCGATTCAGGTTAAGCTGTTTACATGATACCCTGTGGTTAAGTGTTCCTATTGACGAGGATAAACCAATTAACAGAATGTTCTAGTGCCAGCAGAAGTCAGCTCAGCCGTCTGGGGATTCCTGCCATTCAGCCTGAGCAGTAGTAAATTTACTCACAGCAGAGAGCTGGTGTTTTGGTTCCCATCACGGTCTGCCCGTAATCCTCAGTAAGCATGTGCAGAGGACACAACTAATGAGAGGCCTGACATAGTTCCTGTGCTCTGCCGTCAGCAGACGCCTCAATCTGCTTATGGACTTCTCTGAGAGTTCATTTCTTCCCACTCTCACCCAACCGGTCCAGGCAGATGGCCTCCCTTCCTGAGCCTGGTTCTGGTGGAGGTTTTGGTTCCTTCCCACCGTTGCTCAGAGGGAGTTAAAGGCATCTCTGGATTGTTTAAAACCTGTGCGGTCTTCAGCTGACTGCGTTGAGGCTGTGAGCTGACATATGCTGTGAACTGTGCTATACAGACAGAACAGAACTGAATGGATCAGAACCTGTTTGATTTGTCAAACATCTGAGCAGTCTGTCCTGTCTCTGGATTTCCTGTCTTGAAGTTTCACCGTTTTTCTCCTCAGTGACCTGCTTGTACCTCGTTAGGGCGAGTTTGTACCAACAGCCTGTTACAGACCCGTTAACATGTGGATGGATCCGTCGGTTCTCCCCTCAAAACTATGCAAATGGGATTTGAACAGGCTGGATCAAAGATCACACCAATAATATCTCTGATGTCACATTTCCTCGTTTCGTACGCCACACTTCTGTTCCAGACAACCAAGACAACATTTCAAAGTCTTTCCTCCGTTAATCACATTCAGACTCACCAGACGTGAAGAGCACGATGGACTTGAGGCAGGAATATTCGGCCGTGTCGACCTGCAGGGCCTTCAGCTTCTCCACCTGCTCTTGGAAGACCCGGATGTGGTCCATGAAGGCCACCACGCGCTCCGCCGACATGGGCGAGGCGTGCAGGCCGGCCGCCGCTAACAGAGGAGCCACGTGAAGCGGCATGGAGCACTGGGCGGCGTTGAGGACGAACAGCTCGCTCCAAGACATGCGGAGCAGCGCCACCTAGAAGACAGGAAGTAGGAAGTGATTATTACAGAGCCTCCTCCACGGTGGGGTTCGTGTCTTTACTCTGGCAGAGTACGCATTAACAGGAGAGCCACCGTGTTGCTGTGGTCGACCAGAACATGTTCACGTGTTTCATGTTCAGAAAACACACGACCTGCTCGTATATCGCTGCAGCGCCTCTTCCCACCGTCGGTATAAAACGCTCCATTCCTGCTCCTGTCTCTAATCCAGAGTGGAAAAGATGAACTGAACATCCAATAATCCAAACTTTCTTTGGACATGATCAGAATTTGGTGACATGATTCGAGTGAATGCAAACTAGAGACAACAGCAGCCAGAGCTTTATTGTGAAGGGCTCATTGTGAGGCAGCAGGAAGACAAGAAGACGTGACAGCAAGACAGAAATATGCCTTAATACAGACAACATGGAAACACAGCCTGACAAGATGATAGAAGAACCTTATGGAGAAGAAGAAGCTTCCCAGAGGTGACCGCAGTTGCAAAACACTAAAGTGGGTCAGAAATATTCAGACTTTTGTGCCGGGCGGAGGAGGAGTGGAGCCTTTTGACAACAGGCTGGATAAAGTGGGTTTAAGTGCTCACTGAGAGGGAAAGGACAGATGTATGCTGCATGTTGACTTGACATTAATGATATATTAATGATGTGGTGCAGCTATAGCATGACATATTTGCGATGACTGTGTCTGCCAAAGGTGCATGTGAATATTTATAGGTCAGGCGATTGCTCTGTGCCAAGACTTTACAGCTGGTGTAAATCTACATGCGCGGGGTTGATGTCGGGGCTGTCAGGTCGTATTTCTGCCCTCAGTGAACAATAACTACACAGATTTCTTTTTATAAGCTACTTAGTGATGATTAACAAAAGCGCAAAATGAAAATAAAGCATTTTCAATTGTTTCCTGGCTCACTTCTTTGCCCGTCCTGATGAGAAGCCATAAAGAATCTGCTTGTGTTCCCTCATGAAGCTGCAGTCGGCTTCGTGTTGGCTTCCATTCAGCAGAGCAGTAAAACTTTAAACCTGCTTCAGTGACGTTTTCCTGTGCAGGCTTTATGAAAAGGAACAATGTCAAGCTTTGGAACTATGACAGTGTGCTGATGAAGCTACAGCCAGAGGCTAGCTAGCTTAGCTTAGCTTAGCATAAGAACAGGAAAAAACTGCTTTTTGATTTTGTTCTGTTTTTGAAGTTCTGCAAACTGAAGGTAATGTTGTAACGTTTCCCAAATGTTGCATTGAGAACGTTCTTCCTTTTGTTACTGTGTAACATTATGGGAATGTTTAATAGTAAACTTTCTCCAAAGCGTTAGCTCCACAACATATCCAAAACATCCTCAGAATATTGCTCTCTCCATGCTAATATCTCACATTACAGGAGGCCTCGATAACATCTTAAAAACATGTTTGAGAACGTTCTTCCTTTGTTATCAGAAAACACCTGCGGCCCTGACGACGTCCTCCAAACACTCGTCTACCTGTGGAGGAGCGCTGCTTGAAACGATAAAGATCCATAAACATTCTTTGAATATTAGATTAAAAGCTAAAACACAAATAAACCACACATTGGAAGAGGGCTGGGAGTGGGATCATAGCAGCCTGAAACTTTGTGCTCACCATTATACACACATATATATATATATACATATATACACTTAATCCAAAAACAACATGGACGTGGAATTAAAGCAGGAGCGCGTGGAAAGCCAGTGAGGTCATGATCCTGGCCACTTGGTGGTTTAATGTGGGCAGCAGGTCTTGTAGACGTCAGCACATAGAGCAGCGTTCACCTTGACTGCTGTGTGACATTCACACCCGTCAGCTGCTCCTGTTAAACATCCACATTGTGCACATTTACAGGTTTAGAAGTTCATCTTTGGGTTCTACAGGAATATGTTTGCACGCTTTAATTTTCAAAAGCCACATTATTTTCCTAACACTGGTGACGCACCTCTTCTCACCCTCCTACCAAGTCGCCCAGTTTTCTGTCTCTCTAAGGCCTCCCTCCAAAAAGTCCAGCGTGTTCTGGTGGGTTGGTGAGGCCAGATCTATGAGGACAGGGCTGCAGCTCTAGCAGAGGACATGATGGCACAACATGCCCAGTCAGGCACTAAGTCACCTCATGACATCGACGAGTAACGGAGGAAAAGCTCTGACCTCAGACGTGGCGTTTCAGGCAAGTAAGCAGCAGAGCTTCTGTTGGGGAGAAAACTCGCTTGTGACAAACTGTGCAGCAAACGGACGCAAAGGAGAGACCTGAAGAGCAAACTATGGGCTCTTCAAAACATCTAACGGCAGGGAAATGAGATGAATGATGACCGGCTTAGTGGCAGCGGTCTGTGGGAGAGACCAGCTGCCTCCTGGGGCGGTGGTCCTACAGCAGAAACCAGAGCGATGTACTGGCCCGGCGCTACGGGGGCTCTCCAGCCCGGGGAAACCACATCCTAAGTTTCACAAGTTCAACCAACTCAGAAACGGTCACACGGCGGCCAACTCACCTGGTCCATGAGCTGCAGGTCGGGGAAGAAGGGGATGTTCTTGGCCCACTCGACGGCGCTGAACAGCAGCCTGGCCGCCAGCTCGCAGATGTTCTCGATGCCCATCAGGTTGTTTCCCTGCATGCACTGAGCGCCGTAGCGAGACGTGGGGTACGGCTCGGCCCGCAGCAGCAGGGAGATGAAGCCGGACAGGTAGGGCTGCCCGTTGTACGGGTCGGTGCCGTTGGTCAGGTACTGTCCCGGGCTGCTCTGGGAGTTCGATGTACGTCCTCGTTGTACGGCTGTTGGACAAGACAGATACGGGTCAGAACTCAGCTGCATAAATGTGAACTTTAATGGATACATGCTGTGACTCTTCTGTCTGTGCACAAGTCTTTTAACAGACAGTTAATAAAAAGGATTCTGATTTCACCGCAGCAGAACCGCAGCAGAACCACAGCAGCACCGCAGCAGCACCGCAGCAGCACCGCAGCAGCACCACAGCAGAACCGCAGCAGAACCACAGCAGCACCACAGCAGAACCGCAGCAGAACCACAGCAGAACCACAGCAGAACCGCAGCAGAACCACAGCAGCACCGCAGCAGAAGGCCTTCACAGTGGACGTGCAGAACAAAGTGACTCCTGAAGCCTGCCGGAGCAGCAGAGGGGACGAGGATAGAAGAGAAAGAAGCAAATTGGGCCTGTCAAATGTGCCGGATGGGGTTCTGCAGAACGGGGTCGAAGGGGCGAGAAGCGTAGCGACGCAACATTTCTCCGACTCCTAAATATGTCAGCGCTCCCCTCCTGGGTGGAGCGATGGAAAGCGGACCAGGCCAAGGCCGTCCTCTGCTGCTGTGTGCATCAATGAGTAATGACAAGCAGCAGCTGGTAAAGATATAACACTGCTTCACACCTACATATGTTATGGACCCGCACATGCATACATACGGTAACACCACCCCCCCACCACCA